CCCCAAAACCCCAAAACCCCAAAACCCCAAAACCCCTAATTTTCGAATTTGGGTTGAAACCTAGATCATCATTGTTAGCATTTTTTCAAATACGTTTTTGCCTTTCTTCTTATATTCCTTAACCGGAGATTTCACATCCTTGAAGTTCTTGATGTACCCTTCTTTGAAGAGCAACGCACTCACGTCTGTCTTTTCAATAGCCCTTTGCCGTCTTTCTTTATTATTTGGCCTTCCTATCGGGTTTATGTAAATTTTAGCATTAGAAGTATTGTTGATATTTAAGGATTTCTCGTTGCTTACGAGATCTAGTTCGTTACGGTTGCCATCTCAGAGAAGATACCGAGGTAGGCTACTTCTTTCATTCTTCTGAAAGAAAGCGTCCTTAGAGATCTTAAAATTCTTGTTATTTCTGACCTCTCGTAGCCCTATCCAAGGACTCTGCTTTTGCTAGAGAGGTCACCTCCCACTTGGATTCTCTGTTGCGGTTCAGAGTGTTTACGCCCGGAGGAAACCGGTCGGTTTCTTTCTGATAATCATGAATATAGCCTCTGGATTTTTCAGGAATGACTGTAGAGAACCTATCTTTGGGTCCAATAAAGATATTACTCAGTTTATTTATTCAAGCGTGCTCTCTCTGGACTATCTCTTTCTAGACTTATCTTCGCTTTGTTGTCAATTACGTTGAGGAGCTTTAGTCTGGAACATGACTTTTGCAGCTGATCGATGTTGTCTCAACATAGTCCGGTTGAGGAAAAATTTATGGTGCTATAATGCATTTAGAGTAAGCTAATACCTATTTCTTCCCTTTTTCTTCTGCTTCGGAGACTTACGACTTAAGTTATGTTTAATAGTGGATCTGGTTAAGGAGAAATTTGAGATTCTGGGAAGCTGTTTGGAGTAATCCACCACAGCTTTACCTGATCTGCGGAATTTAGTGGAAATTTGGGGTATCTCTCTGTATACGAACCTATTGAGTTATCCACAGAAGGTACCTTTCATCATGAGCACGAGGATACACTTTATTAGAGTGCTCGACGAAGTCAGTCCTATTTATTTGCTGATCAAAGTTGACAAATCCTTTAGTTTTACTGGATTTCTGAAGTCGCTTGATCCAAGGTGTCTCAGCACGGATGTTTCTACAGATATAACTACAAGGAGTACTTTTTCCTCATTTCGACTCGTCTTTCATATTCAATGTCTCTCTTGAGGCCAATTTCCATCGGATCAATGTTCTTCCTCTTGTATTTAGAGTTTATTTTAATCAGAGATTTATTAAGCTCTTCTTCCTTATTTGAATAAATGGTAGCCTTGGCCAAGTGAAACTATGCGTTATGCAGTAAATTTACTGTAACCGTACTTGCACGCATCCGCCTCTGACTGTGATTGCTCTAGGGAGTTAAAGCATAAGGTGTACTTTCAGCTAGCTTGTAGATCATATCTGAATGTGGCTGAGTGTTCTTCCCTTGTAATCTACGAAATCAGGTTAAAATTTCATGAAAACTGACTGGGTTACCTCTTACTACTGCTGTCATGGTAGTCAAGAACTTTTTCTGCACTCTAGGTCAAAATAGTTATGGAGAAAGCCAGAATACTTACTCCTCTCTTTTTGAAGTAATGATCAATCTGAGCCTTGATATCTCCAGAGGCTGGAGATTGCTTCTGAGACATGCTGAGAAGGTTAATTTTAAACTCTGAGCTATCGTTTAGATCTGCCATCAAATTTTATTTCAATAAATTTTATATTTTATGGGGTTTTGGGGTTTTGGGGTTTTGGGGTTTTGGGG